AACCTGTGTGCCATCCACGCCAAGCGAGTCACCATCATGCCCAAAGACATCCAGCTGGCCCGCCGGATCCGCGGGGAGCGCGCCTAAACGGAACGTGCTCGCCCTGCACATCAACACCGAGAAACACAACGGCTCTTTTGAGAGCCACTAAACTATTCGGAGAGAGCAGTAATCGGTGGGGACTGTTGGTTAATTTTATTATCCGCCTATGATTTTCTATTGTTACACTGCGTCTTTTCTGCTGTTAAAGAAATTGAATCCATCTGAAAAGTGCATTTGTCACATTAATTTGAAGACAAGATTCAAGCAGCGGCAGCGAAGTTAGAAACTGATCGCAGAACATAACTGAAGGTTCCCTGTATACAGGAGATATATGATCGACAGAGCAGCAATTACAGGAACTGAATGGGCCTGGGAGATGCGCACATTTCACATTTAAAGACAGAAGTGAACAAAAGTTATAAGTTGAGATTTTAGCAGCAGTCACAAAATACAATTGAAGTACTCGACTCTATGTATGCAAAAGTTTACAAATTCCCGATAAAACGCCTAAATATGTCCATTGTCTCCCTTGGTGTTTCCACAGCGATAAATGTAACTTTCAAAAGCCCGCCAAAGCGTTCAAAAGATTTTAAAGTTTAGGGCACACAATCTCTTTTCCCCTTCTCCCTTCGGGATACTTCGGTATATGCTCTTCAGAGGGTCGGTTCAGACGCGAATGGCCCCCTTCTGCTGGTAGATGAATTCCATGATGTTGTTCCCTGTCAGCGTATTAATAGGGACACCTTTAGCTATTACTTACATGTCCGTGTCCCTTACTGCAAAATCGCCACATTTACTAATCTGGTCAGACAGCTGTTCTAGTTTTATTTTGGCTCATTCTGAAAGTCTTAAAAAAGCACAAAAATTCTCATTTACAGCAATCTCATTCGAGTGCCGAGTCTTTACATTAAAAGAATAGGACACTAGTGACGGTCCAGCTGCTTTTCACTGATGTTGTGGGTGGCTCTTAAAAGAAGCTTTGGGTTATCAAATAAAAAAAATTGTCTCTTCACTTTTTAGTGGCGCCCCCAGCGGCGGTTTTCTTGGGCAGCAGCACGGCCTGGATATTAGGCAGCACCCCACCCTGAGCGATGGTCACCCCTCCCAGCAGCTTGTTGAGTTCCTCGTCGTTGCGCACGGCCAGCTGGAGGTGCCTGGGGATGATGCG